GTGAACTCTATCTATTCTCAACAATTTTTCAAAGGTCATAGCTAACAGATCTGGTATCAGCTAAACTTGATGGAATCTTCCTATCAAAAAGTATTTATCTTACCCAAGAAATTCTCTAGCCTGTTCATGTTTTATTATAGCCTGTGTTCCTGCACCTTTTTGTTGCTGTTAGTAACCTGTGATCAGATTAGGATGACTTCGAAGTGAAAACCAAAGCAATAAAAATTAATCTTTCCCAGCATAGTCTATTATCAGCTTTCTTCTCTCCATTTTCCTGTTCATCAGTTACCTTCCTGTAGAATAATGTTTTAGCCAGGCTGCATTATTTCGTGCTGAGCAATCTGCTTTTTTGCAGTTAGTCCTCTTCGCTTCAAAGTGATAGGAACATTTTGTTCAGATTTGTTTTAAAATATATCTCTTGGCTACCTCTGGGTTCCTGTCATAGCTGATACTTGTCAATCTGCTTCTACTGAATCACTTGATACTAAATTCTTGCATTTAATTCACTTACTGCATTTCATAGCCAAGGCCTCAGTGTATGTGAATGTCTCTCTGTGCCATATGACACAGGAATGCGCACATCAGACAGTGGGCTCATGTTGCCACCTACTCCTGTCCCCCCAAGGCCTCATGATTTAGCAGGTCATGTGAATCAACTCATCACTCATGGCCTTTTTTAAAATTCAGTCTTTTCCAGCAAATCAGCTCCTCTTTGAACATCTAGCAATTTCACAAGGCCTGTCCACAATTCCAGCTCTGCCATTCTAATAATCCTTGACTACAGCGCTCATTTGTAATAATCTCAAAATTTTTTAATTGATTTTAGCTTTTGCAACAGAACAAACTGAAATGGATGTGCTAACATGTTTTAGAATCTGAAAGAGCAGTGGTAACTTGTCTCATGGTATGGGAGAGAGTCGGAACAAGGTGTAATCCATGTTTTGTTTCATTTTCCTGCCACCACTTGGGGAAGAAATAGGTCCTGTTTACACAAACCCAGAGAAATTAATTGCAGTTAAATACACAGCTTTGCAGTTGGAAAACTCCGTAGTTGGCATGGAGTGTGGCAGGTATATCCTACCCAGAGCTTTTCCACAGATTACTTTCACAGTCTGACCCTTTTCCCTTTCTCTTCTCTATAGATTATTAATTCGGTGGTATTGCTGATTCTGCTGAGCGCTCTGACTGATCCTGACCAGTACCACCTAACCAGTGCTGAATTAGGGGGTGAATTTGAATTTATGGATGATGCCAGTAAGTACAAACTGCCTAAATGCTAGTACTCATTGCTCCAGCATGTATGTAACTGTCCTATCATTTCAGTAATTATTGTCCTTTATTCATTGCTTCACCTTGGTATCTTACAGATATATTTTTATTGTGAAAGGTGTATTCATGGCACAGTTCAAATTGGTTACCTAGTAGTAACCTTATCTGTTACCTATTAGTAATCCATCTGCTCTGCTGTGTCCTGGCTTGGCAGGGCAGAGCCAACCCTTGACATGGAGATGTTATCCCTGAGCATGATGCTGAAAGCCCCAGGGGTATTTTGCAAGACACAGGGAGATATGGAGTCTCTGCACCTCCTAGCACCATGTCTGGTAGTGCCTGCACATGCATACGAATCCATACTGCTGTTTCTGTAACTGGCTGAATGTATTCATTCATGTTGTATGTATTTATACACCCCCCCCATGTGCACATGGTATGACTTGCACAAACCTGTTGTAATAGGTGCAAGTATAAGAATTAACTGTATAGTCATAGGCATATAACATAAGTGATAACACAGGGCTGCATCCTTTTTTCCAAAGGACATTATAGAAAATCTTCAATACAGTTTCAGGGAAGGATGAGCCAGGCCATTTATATCACCTGCAAAAACCTCCTGTCCTTTGTGAACGCTTCTTTCTTCCATGACTGTTTCAAACTATTTGCTGATGTTTGGTTTGTTGATTTGCCATTTAATAGGTATCTAGAAAAGTTTTCCCTCGATGTGATTTTGATAAAAATGTCTCTTTATTTTCATTTCTGCTCACAAGATTGTTACGTTCAACGTTTCTCGCAGTAATCTGAAACAAGGTCTCCTACTAGTTACACTGGTGTCTTGCTGCTCATAATCGCACCCATCTGCAGCAAAAGGCTCAAAGGCCTTTGCTCATTCCTACTGAAGTCAATAAAAAATATCAGTAGGAAGAGTAGCCCCACATGTGAGAAAAATAATTGCACCCATGGTGTGTCAGAGCTGCTGGGTATCAGTTAAGGGATGCTTATTTCCACAAGTTCTTTAGTGCAGATATGCCTTGAGGGCCTACATTTAATTAATAATAAGGGACAATTGCTACTTTATTGTGTCTTCATTGAAAAACCACCTACAACTTCCAACTAAAAATCTCTTTATATAACTGGATTTAAGAAAGTAAGGACCATAGTAGATACAGATGGGCTCCTAGCTGATTCTGACATATTAAAACTGACTGCCTTGTCCTAATTCTCAGAGATTAACCTTGGTAATGACTGTCTGTCAGTGTGGTTTTATATAGCCGACATCAGAGGCCTGCCAGTGCCCAAGGCTTTAAAACAGTAATTCTGTTTTGTAATGCAATAGCTGTCAGATCAAGTACATTGGGGATTTCCATCTATACTTGAAAATTGTATTTTCTATATTTTTTTATTGAGGCTTCTGAAGTGAACCCTGCAAGACTGTAAAAGGATGGCTTGTGGGCCAAGCGACCTCATTTCCATTCACTAAAGGGAACATTTTACAGGCAGTTAAATTACGAATGAACATTTGAATTAATGTCTCCTTCTATTCTTTGACTCCCTCCAGTTTAATGCTTTACTGAGTAAAGGCAGCTGAATCAAGCTGCTGGCTTTTATAGTTACTGGAAATAGCTGGCAGGAGATAATTTATTTTTCTTTTTTTTCTTTAAGTATGATTATATTTGTTCAAATCTGAGGAAATGTTTTCTTACAAGATAAAACATCAAATTTCCACATGCTCTTCTCTTGTCCTACTTTTACTTGTCTTTTTTGAAGAAATGTTTCCCAGGTTAGCTACATGTGTTGAAATTCTTAGATGTGAAACCATGAGTACAAAATACAGGAAGATACATCAATTTTTGTGCTAATGAAGGTCCCAAAGTTGTTATCTATATGTACTTGTGTTGACAAATAATAATGATGCAAATACTAGTAGCCATTATTCTCATTACTACTTTTTATGCCCCTATCAATGGCAAACCAAAAAAGAATGCAGACACAGATTTTGCACATAAAATTGTCACTCCCTTTCCCTCCCTCCTCAAGTAGGCTCCTTCATAAAACATCTGAAAATATCAACTGGAAATAAACTTATCAGCTGGGTCATAGTAGTGGGATCATGGCTAATGTGAAGTTAATGACCAATTTCTCTTGACTTCCAAGAAACCAGGATTCCCCCAATATTTGTATTCATATTTATTTCTGGCTGTGCTCAGGCCTGGTTTATGGAGCATTTTCAATTTTCTGTTCCAGCAGTGGGAAAAGTTCCTTCCACATACAGAGCCAGAACCAGTCAAGGGCAAACTGCTTGAAAATGCCAGTGCAACATCAGTTCTTCTGTGAATGGCTGTTCAGCCTTAATTTCAGGATTTAGTGTGGTTCCCAAGTCATTACCAGAGGCTCCAAAATGCCTGTTCAGTTAAGCAGAGGAAGGATTTACCTGAGCACTTAGAAAAAGCTGTCGCTTACAGCTTTTCCCTTCTATTCTACAAAAGGAAACAAGGGGGAAAATAATCTGCCAAGACTTGCCATGCAGCAGATGGGCGTACTGGAAGACACCAGCATGTGTGGTTTGGCTGGCTCTCTGAGATGTATGTCTGGGAGCCAGGGAAAATGCTGGGCTTCCTCCTGTACTGGATATTCAGCTGAGCCCATTTAGTCTCATCTTTCTTTTTATTATTTCCTTAGGGCCTGAGGGAGTTTATGAACTAGAAGTTGGACTAGGAAAAATTAGAATCGTGTGAGCTGCCCAATGTAATACTGCTGCTGTTAAAAGACTAATAATGCCTCTGCAGGAGATGGAAAAGCCCTATAAATCATTTTGACTTCCCAGAAGGTTTCACCTGAGCCTCCTGCTCAGCTTCTTGAGATACACAGAACATGATCCTGACACAGAACATGATCCAGCCCAAACAAGCAGCGAGTCTTGCTTGGTTTTATTTACTACCTTCAGAGTGTCACAGATGTGTGCGATACTTCATAAGTGTTATGACAACTAGAGCTGAAATGTTATGTATGCCCTTTAGATATTGATGGGAACTTTGAGACTGGTGTCAGCAACCCAGGCCAAAATCATCCCGTATCCCGGCCGTGGGATGGGCGGACGAGACAAGCAGAGGTCTCAGGACAGGGCAGGGTAATGAGATGGTCTCGCTGCAGAACGTGACATGCATCTGGGGCACAAAAAGACTAATTCAAATAGAAACATTTTTATAAGAAAACCTACAGATAGCAGGCTTGAACTCCTGTGGCAGGTAAAGGGTAGAGTACATACCCTTCCTGCCCCAATCCTTCAACACCACCTGTTGTAGCATGAGCCCCATGTCACAGGGAGGGGAAAAAACTAGATCCTTGCCCCAGCGTAGCATATTCAGGGCTGCACCTTCCCCTCTAGCCTTGTCCTCTGCAGTAAATGAGCTGGGCTTAAAGGGGCAGAAAGCTCTTTCCTTCTCATTGGCCTCCCTCCTTTGCTGGAGAGAAAATACCACCGCCACACAGGTTGCGACCCTGAAGGCTGCACGGCATCTCACAGTAGCGGCACTGAGCTCCCACAAGCAGCTTGGAGGAGAGAGCGAAGCAGTAATCCTTAGCTAGCAGTAAGGAGGCCAGGCTGCTGAATAAATAAGGCTAGGAAGGTGGGCAAAACTGCCTGAGGATTGTAGCTTTCTGGTCCCTCCTGTCAGAGCCATGAGCCTGTGATTTACTGCAGAGCTGGGGCAGGTGATGAGCTGGAGGATTTGAGGTCTCCATCACTCCACACAGGTCTTGGCTCAGGGACTGGCCTTGCTGGCTGCTCCTCCCTGTCCCTGCAGCACCTGCCACAAGCCTCCTCTGCGAGAGGAGAGGGGAAGGCAAGGAAATGTTTGTGAGATGGGTTCGAGGGAGATCCAGCTGCAGAGCTTGCATGCACACAAGCACCCCATGGCAGGAGATCTGCCCAGCCTCAGCAGCATCTTCTCCCCAATGTTGCAGGAAGGTAGGATCTCACTGCAAGGTATAAGAGGAAAAAAACCCAACTGGTTTCTTTAAAACCGAGCTGAAAACTCAAAAAGCTGTCTAGAACAATAGGTTGTGTAACCACTGTAGCAGCCCAAGTACCACCCTTCTAGCCATGAATGCCAAGGAAAGTACAGCATGGCTGGAAAGAAATTCACACACCCCTGTTAGCTTCTCATTTAATGTGCTACATATCTAGTTTCATTCTCATTAATTGAACCCAACACAGCTCAAAAAACCCAATGAAGCCTTAAATGAGAAAGAACCAGCCTGAGCCTAGTAGGACTTGGCACAGTGGAGCACAGCTAGAGACACAGAGATGGGGAGCACAAGTGTGTCAGACCAGATCTTCAATGTCAAGTTTATCGCAGTTTGCTAGGCTCTGGCTCTGAACCAATACTGCTGTGGTCATGAGCAAAGCGAGGTCTGTGACTGCTGCATCTGCTGCAAATGACAATGACAGCAGCTTCCCCTTGGATACGGTGAGTAAGTGACTGGGATTAAGAATGGACAGAATAAATATATGAGCAGTGCTTTCAAACTGATGGTTAAAATAAAAATAATGATCCAAGATCCTCTTTTATAAGAGGTTCAGTTGAGGTTAGTGGCTACAAGCAGCCATTTCTGCTTTTCTCTTTTTCTTTCATTACCTCAATTGTACCTGGTCTATTCAAAATAATTTTGATTTCACAGGATGTATGTGGGCAGCCAGAACAAAGTACTACATAAATAAGTGTCTGAAGAGGCTGCAGCACCTTGTATCAGTATGGGTTTGTTTTTTGGGTGCTTCTTCCTCCTGAGGGAAGAATTCAGATCAGCTCTAACAAGCACAGCACAGCTTTACAGCTCCTAAAAAGCTGGAGACTGGTCATGGCAATGCAGCTCAGATGCCTACACTGGATGTCCGGATTCTCTGTACAAAGAGGTGAAGGAGGTGTCTCTGAAGAGCAATTTGGAGTGAAGAGCAATTTGGGATGCACTGAGATGTCAGCTCCCCCTGATTTATAGGCAGGGAGCCCAGCTGCCTCCTGATGGCATTTCCAAGTGCTCACAAGCTGAGCTGGGAAAAGCCACCAGGTAGGAAGCAGTGAGTGCAGGGGTGCACCTAACCTCAGCGCTGAGTGCTGGTGCCTCTCCTGGGTGAGATCTGCTTATCTGGACAATAAGACAAAGATTCAAGCATTTGCACTGTGAGTAAGGTTGTCTGGACTCCAGGCCTTCATCAGGCTACCATGGTTTAAATGTGCTCCTCCAAGTGCCCAGGAAAGGGGCCCCATCCATTAAATTAGGAAGTAACGTGCAATAGGGCTTATTCTGTTGCATTTGAGTCCCTGTGCAATCACAAGGACAAAATCTGGGGGCAAGAGTGAGAGAGCAAGAGTCCTGAAAACCAGGACACAGGCAGTGTCCTGGGAAAGGGGAGACCTGGGTTCCTAAATCCTTAATCCTACCATTGGTAGACACGGTACTCAAGGAGCCTGTAGCCCGACGTACATAAGCACTCTCCAGAGATGCCCTCACCAGCCAGCCACAGTCTCCTCTTGCTCGTTTTTCTGCCAGCTTCTCAAGTCTCAGGTTCCGCTCTGCATCAAGGGCCAGCAGAAATCTGGATTAGTGCCGGCAGGAGCTCTGCGCTAGTGCAGATTTGTGTTCCTTCAGGTGGAGGAGGGTCAAGGACTGGGTCCTTTGTCTTCTACACCTGACCTGAGCAACCTGATCTGGTTAAAGCTGTCCCTGCTCACTGCAGGGGGGTTGGGCTAGATGACCTCTAAAGGTCCCTTCCAACCCAAAGCATTCTATGATTCTATGATCGTACTGGTAGGCTGGAAAAAATGACAGACCAAACTTAGTGTCTGTCCTTCTTCTTCAGCCATGACCCAGATGAACCTGCATTGCTGCCTGGTGGCAGTAGGTGAGACCTGTCCACAGCTACCAGATGAGGACCTTTCAGGGACTTTGATGCAGGCTCCAGGGCACCTACCCAGAACCTCATTTTGATGCAGCCAGGGAGGTGGAGGGACTGTCCCTTGCTGCAGGACAGTCCTCATCATGTGCTGGAGTTAGATGTTGTGGCAACTCTGTGATCAAATGGAGGCATCTTCACACTTTGAATGCCTCCAAAGTCAGGCAGTGATGGGTAATGAACAGGCTGAACTCCATCATGTATCTGTGCGTCTTAAGTCCACCAAATGTCTCATCATGACAGGTAGTTTAAATGCACCTGGTGACAGCAATGTGAGCAGCAGGTGGCTCACAGATACCCACAGAGCTGGGTTCTCTAAAGTCATGTCCTATGTACCTCATGTCCTCTCTCCTCTTTGTGCACTGGCTTAGCCTCAGAAAAGTAGTTGCAATGTTCAGTTGTGCTCCCAAACTCACCATAAGGTTGGGTTCAGAAATACAATTCTGGTATCCTGACTATGGCCTGTAATGATTTCAAGGGATGCATATAGGAAAAGATCAAACATATGTAAGTTTTTTCCCCAGGACCTCCCTCTAGCTGTTTGTGGCTTAGGAACTTCTTAAATCTAATGAAAAGTTAATTGAAAGCTGTGCGGCAAGAGAAGAAAAAGATAGGAGTCCTGTAATTACTCCAATCAAAACCTTAAAGAATATTTTCCTTCCTTTACTACTTCACCTTTCCTGACAGTTATACATCTTCATTAATAAACTGTGTATCTCTGTAGTATTCTTGGTTGAAATGAAAATTTCCAAGGTGTTATTTCTGCCCTAAAATGCCTCTACCTGCCAGTTTTGCTTTTAAAAATTCGTTTCTCCTTTTCCAAAGTTTTGAGAGATGTGTGAGCAATAGCATACAGAAGCTATTAGTACAAATACAATCTGTAGTGCAGAAAAGAAGACACTTTCTGACTACAGATGTCATCGTCACTGGCAAAAGAGTTTTCTAGTCAAGTCTGCTGATTTTTGAAAATCATCAGGAAAATTAAACCAGTCATGGCTTCTCCGCAGCCTCATAGAGGCTGTAGAGGCTTGTGCAATGTAATCGCTGCCTGTGCTTCTCATATTTAGGAGATTTCCCACAAGAGCCAGAGATTTCCTCCAGCAATGGCTGAATGATGCACCTGCCCCCATCTCCACCCCACTTCCCACCCTGGCCTTTAAGATGTTCTGCGTAAGGCAGATGGCAAAATAACCGAACCAAGCTCTGAATTTATCTGCAATCATATTGATGTGTTTCTCTTCCAGATATGTGCATTGCCACAGCAATTTCTCTTCTTATGATTCTGATCTGTGCAATGGCTACATATGGCGCATATAAGGTAATTCTTTATATTCGGTAAAGACAGGAATCAAGTGAACTATACAACTCTGTAGAAACAAAATTAAGACAATTGCTTTCCAACACTTTTTTGTTTAGTTGTATAGCTGAAAACAGAGAGAAAAAAAAAGGCAGTCAAAGAGGCAGCAGAACTAATTGCTTAGATCAGTGGTATCCCAGGGCCCCGTGCGGCAGGTGGGAAGGCTGCCCTGTTGTGTTTACTGTCTGCAGTTTCAAATGTCAGTAAGCTGTGGGGAAATTGTGAATTCAGAGACCTGAGTCTTGTACCTACCAAAGTTAAGGAAATTTTTTTCCATTCACCTGCCAAGCCTGTGGTTTGTCCCAGTATTAATCCTATTAATTAGGGGAAAAATTGCCATGTGGTTTCTAAATGTCCTAGTATAATGAGTTGTGGGACTGACTTACACCACACATATTACTGCAGTTCAGCAGCCAAGCTGGCTTGGCCAACTCTTCTGCCTGAATGTCATATTTCTTTTAGCTGATTTAACAAGTTCTTTTCTCTTATGGCTTTACGAAATGTAATGTATTCTGTCAGATATTGCTTAGATTTTAATGCAGAAAGGCATATATCCTATTTTAGCTTGTGGTTGATGAATTTTTATTTTATTTCCTTTTTAGCAACATGCAGCCTGGATCATCCCTTTCTTCTGTTACCAGATCTTTGACTTTGCTCTCAACACATTGGTTGCCATCAGCGTACTTGTTTATCCCAGCACAATTCAGGACTACCTCCGTCAGCTGGTAAATCACTCAATGTTCACAAGCCGTTGGGAACTTTGGGGAAAAAAAACTGTGCAAGGTGCACCATTTGTGCTGTATTTCTATCCAATGGGCTCCTATTGACTTCCTATGCAGTCCTTGAAAAGTCCTCTCAGTCCTTGCTAGTGTCTGTTCAACATCCTTGCAAGGTTACATTACTAACTTATTACAATATTTGTGCAGTGCTCTAAAGTTTTGCAGTGTTGTGGAAGCTCTCAGCACTATTTAATTAACAATGAGATTCATATTGCAAGACATAGATAATAAGTCATTGCTTTTGGACTCAGAGTTATTGTGTTCATATCCAGTGGCTTATTTTTGGTGCTATTTCAAGGATGTTTTGTTGCTCCTTTTAATTTACACAGATTTCATTAGGCAGGAGTTTGGTTCAATGAAAGTTTGTTTTTGCTAGAAAATATTTTTGGATTCTGTCTCAGAGACAATTAGAGGCTCCCTTCTTGCCATGGCCTACTTTGGCCAAATATCCATAGCCAGTATTGCATAAGCTTACAAGATATGATTGCAACCACCTAAAGAAAAGACAAGAGCCCACCAGCCTCTGTCTCATCACAGGACCATCTGCCATGTCCGGCAGGGTTCAGGTGGAGTTGCGGAGCTCTGGGAGAAGCTAATGGTGCCTCTGTCTCTGAAAATCTGCCTTGAGAACGTGAATACAGATTAGCTTGGCTGTGAACTTTGTTATGTGGATGGAAAACTAGCTAGGGCAGTATAAATAACAGGTAATGAGAAACAGCAGGCAGATAAGTAGCCGCACAAATCTGCAGGAAGAGGCAATGTGTCAAGACAGCGGGAGCTGGGATGCATCAGGGGCCTGTTATCCTGCGCCTTATTTAACACCAGCCTGCATTCACGGCTGATGCTACACTGGAAGAGAAGCAGAGGAGTAATTCAAAAGGTTCTCAGAGGTAAAAGTGAAAAAGAGTAAATAGGCCATAGCTTGGCAAGTGCTTGAAGGTGGCACTGCTGCTGGCTGGAGCTCTCCTGCCCATCCTTTGTCTGCAGTCCCTCGCTTCTGCATCGGTGCCAGCTGCGCTCTCGTGGCAGCACAAGAGTCTGTGTGGCTGCAGGAACTCCCCTCCTTCCCAGAGCATGAGTTGTAACCCAGTTTTATTCTGTCTTGGTCACTGTACAAGAACATGACGGGGACATGAGCAGGCTGGGAGCTGCACACAGAAAGGCCCCTGCTCTTCTGCTGCAAAGCTGGTGCCACCACAGCTGGAGCTGGCTTACCAGGAGGGCAAAGAGCAGCCAATTCTCTCAAAATGTCTGCTAATACATCAGTGTTGTTCCTGCAGATAAAAATGTAATAGGCCCTTCCGTAGCAGAAATACAAGGAGCAGACCTTGGAAGGTATTGGGAACAGAGCAGAGCATTTCGTGAGCTGCATTGCTGCTCTGGAGCATTAAAACCTCCGGTTGCACACATCTTTGTCTTGATGTTGTAAATCATTTTCCGGACTGGTAATGAAATGCCGCAAGATTTCAGGAGTGCTAAACTGTCAGTGCTGAAAAGGGCAAGGGGGATTTCCAGGATAATTATAGGCTGATTAGCCTGACATTGCTACCAAGCAGAATAACAGCAGTGCTGAGATGAGAGCCAATTGATAAAGGATTAGAAGAGAGGAATATGATTAATGACTGCCAGCGTGGTTTCATGGAAAATCAGTCCTGCAGGCAAACTCATTTTCTGTTACTGACAAGATTACTGGCTTCGTCAATAAAGATAGGCAGGGGCATAATAGAGTGTTGTAAGACGTGTGACTTCGCAGCATGATACTCAGAGCAACAAGAAAGAACTGGATCAATAAAGGATGTATCAAATGGATTAGGAGAGGTTAGCTGGCAGACTGCAAAGGGTTGTGGTCAAGCCGACCATCTGCCAATGGGTTTCTATTTTGGGTAGAGGAAGGACTCCAGGAATCAGCACTAGGTCTCAAGCTCTTCCTGACTTCCATTAATAACCTTGGTACCCAAGAGGCCATTCGTAAAGGTTAGCGTCACCCTTGGGAGAGCTTCCCCAGGCTCACTGTCTGGAGAGATCAAGTCCTCTTGCAGGAGGTTGTGAGCAGGAGCCTAATCTAGCTGTTCTGTGTCATTCTCTGAAAGACCCTATCCCTGCATTGCCCAAAGTGAGCACATCTCTGCATTTCCTAGAGTCAGTACTTGTGCCTTTTCCGGGCAAAATCACTTCTAATAAAACCTGTCACTGACACAGAGATTAATGAAGAAGTAAATAACACTAAAGACAGAGCCATTAATCAGAATGAGCTAGACTGACTGAGAACCTGAATTCAGTCATTAATGTGTGTTACATTGCTAAATGCAAAAAAAATGTAAAAAAAATGAGGAATATAAATAAGCATACAGTATGGCAACTGTACCTGGGATGTAGTGACCCTGTAAACAGTCTAGGGAACTAAGTGCCAAAAAAAGGGTCCCCAGGCTTTTTGCTGTTCCCGAAAACTGCTCGTGGGATTTGTGGACAATAATGAACAGTAATGGAGAGGAGACTTCCCTTTTCAGTTGGTGACACAGGTTTTGTCTGTCTGTTTCTGGGTGTAAAGAACAATGCTTAAAAGTCAGAAAACATGCAGAAAAGTTCCTCCAAAAACTATATAAAAGCTGGATACATTGTAGCATGATGAGAGACAATCAACTTTTCCTGCTTCATTTACCGAGAAAGGAGACCAAGAGGTAATGCTGTTAGAGTTTTCATATGCAGAATAATGAGGTATTAAAAGGTTGTTTAAATTAGATAAGAGGCATAATGATAATGAGTAGCTAAAAGCTAGTCCAAGTTAAGTTCATTTAGAAACAAGGAGTCATTTCTATTTTATCATTCACAGTGGAGATTAGTGATTGGCAAAATCTACCAAGAGCTGTGGTGAATTTTGTACAGTTAACGTCACCTGTTCAACAAAGATTTGAAGCTGTTTTGAAGCTGTTCTGCATCAGCTTTGAAGCTGTTTATGCCTCCTGTGTCTTAGCTGTGGTCCCACGCATGAGTGGCTCAGCAGGAATCACTTGGCACCCTAGCTAAAAAAAAAGTCACATGTGTTTCAGCAGTCTCTCTGAGTGGGCAAAAGCAAAAGGGAGAGGTGAAGATCACATCCACTGGTATCAGATACTCAGACACACAATGAGTTGAAACCGAAAACAAGCTTTTCAAATTTTTAGCAATAACACCATCAATGCAGTGCTAGCACCCAAATATTGTTAAACAGGCTTGTACCCATGGACTTGTTTCCCTACCTTTTAATAATACTCATGGCAGATATGTTTGTCATATTAAACACCATGTTTAGAGCAAGACTGCAATTAATACCCTTGTTCCCATAGGTGAGACCTGAGTCATGCCAGTTGGGTGTGATCTCTCCTGAAGATTTATAAATAAGCCCTAGAGTCATCTTGTCCTCACCCCCTTTGCAGAGGTCTGCCAAGGTAGGCAGAAAGCAAGGGAGGGAATTGTGTTTCTTCCTGGCATTCTTGCAGCTTTTGTTGTTCTAAACCTGCTTTGAATTTGGGGAATGATATTTTAGGGAGCACAGCTCCATAAGGGAAATGAAAAATCCCAATTGTTCTTCAAATCCATTATTGAATATCTGGAAGAAGGTATGCATTAGGTAATAGAATATATTTGGCAGTCTCAGAAGAACATTTTTTTCTTGCTCTAAGGTCAAAACCCCATGTTTTTAACCATTTCTTCTTCCCTAGACTAGTATCTGGAACTATCTATTCACTTCAGTGCACATCTGCCAGATTTCAGTCTATTAGTGGTGAATTGCAAGCTACTGTAAAACCCTCCATGTACTTTTAGCAAGATGATAAATGAGTACCCACCAATGGAGTAGGCAGAGCCCTAGCTGAAAATGTTGCAGTTGTAAAATACAGAACATTGTGTTCACCGGGTATTTGGTACTGTCAGCCTATATTGGCTGCTTCTTTCGGAGGCACAATTGTCTTTGGAAACGTTTTGTGGCCTTTTAATACCCAGTTGCACACAGGTGTGCCACTTAATTCCCATAAATTGCAAGAGCACCTCAGCATGGAGGGTCATGTAAAATAAGTAGATGTTACAAATCTAGCATTTGAAATGTTGTATGGCAATCACATGTGATAAAACTTTCTAAGGGTTATGTTGGACATCTTGGTCATTATCACTGTCACTAGAACAACAAGAACCTTCACGTACAGTAAATCCAGAATGTGTAAAATAAAAATTATTTTGGTTCTTGGAGCAGTAATGGTCTAAAGCAGTTTGACCTAAAGCACATTTCTTTTCTTTAGTCCCGCTAAACCTTTGATATATGGGCTTTCTAAAGCCTTCAAATTAAACACTTCATCTTCTGTCATCTGACAACAGTATACAAAATGAATTGAAGCAGAGGTGCAGAACAGGCTAGTCTGCAACTGAGTTACGCAAAGCTGGTTTTTATTAAAGTACAGGACTATTACAGTTCATCTAAAGAAAATTTCAAAGTACATTAAATAGCTTTACTATGGGACTACCTGAAACGCTGCTGTCTAACAATTCAGGTGGTATCAGTCATGCCTTGAAATCCTAGGGGAAATGTCTAGAGAACGTAAAAGACACTAAAGCTAAAGAATTTTTTCCTATAAACTAAAGCTTAGAAAAGGAATATCCTTTCTGACATTTTTAATGCCATTTTAAATTCCAAAGAAGAAGTACTACTAACTTCATAGCAGAACTTTAAAAATTCTACAGACACCTTACTGTTTTCTTTCAATTTTGTAAGACTCTGATGCTTGGAGGATTGTAACTGTTGAATGAGTACCCACTATCTTTTAAAGTGGATTTTTTTGTGGTCCAAGGGGAAGGAAAACATGAAAGGCTGAGGGAATGAGAAGGGGCTTCAGCCTTGGACTTTTTATTCTTCTTGTGCATTTGTACAATGTCAATGCAGTAGAAATATACTTCCCATGCAAGTTTTAGATTCTTTTTAATTGTCTGATAGAGCTTTGTTATGTATAAGCAGTAATTTCTTTTTAAATTGAAAGTTTACCAGGTACATTATTATGCATGCAGCCCTCTCCATGTCCATG